CTTATGGAGAACAAAGTTTCTCTGTGGTAACAAAGGAGGCACAAGGGCAAAAGATATCTACTTAGCTGGGAACTCTGAGACTTCTTTGATAAACGCATCTGGAACCAAAACACCTTTTATAGTCACAGCACAAGGAAATCATAATAATAAATTGATTTTCTAGGAAAAAAGAAGTCAGCTACAGCTGTTGCAGGAATTAGTGTCCAATGTCCACTTATGTATCTATGCCAAAAGTGTATAGAAGTAAATAAGTAAATTGCTCTGTACTCAATACAAGCTTCTTTGAGAGATCTTTTCTGCATGAGTTCTCCAGGACAGACAGGACCCTTTCTGGGGATACCTGTCTGATTCCAAACTCCATTCTGTGGATCTTCTATGAAAAGAAACTTTTCAGTTTTCAGTATGGGAATGGTTTGGTGAATGTAGTATACTTCAAATAATACACATAGTTATGCATATAGATAGATAATTCTATGTGAAAGTTTGCTTTATATACACCACAAAGTTTGTGGTAGTTTTGTAGTAACTTGTAGTATATACTTGATTTACTGCTAGTAATTTGTACAAAATTTTGATAAAGAAATTAATGGAAAGATAACATCTGAGTCCTTATGGAGTCCTACAGGCCCACTGTCATAATCTACACACCTGCAGATTGGTTCACCCTCATAGATTGTGACCGTCACATATGGCTAGCTGAAATTGTGGTGGTACATAAACCATCTTGTGGACTTACCTTCTGAAGAAACCTGAGATGATGCTAAAGTTACTTATTGAGCGAGTGAAAGGAAAATGTGTGAGAAAAGTGCTTACTTATTTTAATTCGGTTAACAAGATTGTTTCCTACAAGAATGGGAAGAAAAAAACCTTATTCAACAGTGTCTTGCTGGCTGACATCACCCCACCAAAATAAAACCACTGCTTGCCAACAGGAAGTCTGTCCTTCTCTCCAGTAGACTGCCTTTAGATTTGCTGTTCATCACATTTTGCACACTGAACTAGTAAATAAGCATCATATGCAGTGTATTATTTCCCACTAAATAATTCAATTTTTTAAAGAGCATTAAGTCAATGTAAATTCAAGCATAGGGACATGTTTTACAGGGCTTTCACACTGCATAACTTCATACTCACTGAAGGGATGATATATCTTTAATTTTCTAAATTAAAATGCTGCTTCAGAAATTCACACATTTCTCCTAAATATAGATTCCCCCTTCTACCGTAGGTTAATTCTTCTGTAATTATATAATACTGCAATAGGTTTATAGAAGATAAACTGTGTAGCTTAAAGTTGCTTTTAAATTTTTAAGACCAAAATATTTTTAAAACCAGAAAGTAAACATATCAGTCTTCGTAAGTTAGTTAAGAATTTTTGAAACCACAAGGCAAATTACAACATTCTCATGTAACATTGAAAGAAGTGGAACTAGTAGTCCAGAAATATTCAGTTTCTGTCTATACTGTATAAAGCAGAGGATCTTAACTTTACTATGGAACAGTGAAAATGAACTAAGAATATAGAGGCAATTCCTCAACTTAATATGCATTTATGAATACCTCCTAATATCTCTATTTAAACAAGGTCAAAATCTGGGTCAAAATAATAATTTATTTTTAAGCAGACCTTGTACCGACATTAAAGTAAATCCTGGTTTCAAAGACTTAATCATATTACAAACTTTCTTATTGACTTAGAAGTCTAGACTTTATTTCCATCATTGTGTGTAGAAGATTGGAATGAAACAGATAGACATATATATGCTTTTGTTCCTGGTTATTTGTTGTTGTTGTTTATTATTATTATTATTATTTTTTAACTCATCCTCCAAGACTGGAAGAGCATTATACGACTCTTCTGGTATTAGCCAAGTTAAACTAATGCTTACAACTTGCAGGTGAGCCTGTCTAAAGATCTACATTGAAACTTTTTTTTTTTTTTTTTTAAATTAGTGTTTATTGAAGTTCAGATTGCTACATTTACTCAGACATCTAAATAGGGAAGTTGAATAAGATTCTAATTCTAATAGGAATTAGATAAATTTGTGGTAATGTGTAGAACAGAAAAGCACTAAGAGTAATTATCATTTCAATCCAAAAAATTGTTTCTATGTTGGAAAACAGAAATAACACTATTGAAATTGAAACAAGACTGATATTTTTTGGAGAAATAAAATCTCCAAAAGTTACTCTGAAAGTAATGGTTCCTATTTATTTTCATGGGAACTATAACATATACAAAGATCATATAAGAGTATCTGATAGAGAAAATTCTCAGCTATAAAGCATTATTTTTCAACATAGTTACCACTATAAGCTATACTAGCAGTGAACAAGAGCCTGCAAGTCACTCTAGTGAAAATCTAGTGAAAATCTGCACTGATGGAAGCAGCTCACTGTTTTTCTGCTGCTAGGATGATGCCCTTGCTGAAGCATACCACCCACATCTCACCGTGCTCACATTCACTGTTTAGCTTCCATAAACATTCAGCAAGCATTGATGACTGTCAGTAGGTGCATTTTTTTTCCACACAAAGGAATTCAATTACACACTTTTGCTTCATATGCACTTCCATGTCAGAAACAATTTTGTCAGACTATCCCTCTGCTGCCACCTGTTGCATGGCAACAAAATGTAATGGAATATTGCCAGAAAAAGAACAACCTCTACTGCCATATCACCAAAATCTGTCTCTGGCATCATGAGCCAACATAATAAAGTAGGTTACTTTCAGAGCAGCCCTTGTATACGTTATTTTTCAAGAGGTTTTACTTTCATATTTATAAGACAACAATAAAGATCTATGAAGATATCTACAATGCAGTATACTTAATTTCAGCACAGTTGGATTAATACTACCAAAGACTACTTTTTCTACCAAAAGAACAACTAAGAAGACACAGTCTTAGAGATTTTGGTAGGGTGAAGGGTTATAAGATTTACTTTCTTACTTACTTACTTAAAAATCTCTGTTCTCATGTGTAGTGGTTTTCTTTTTCTTTCCCATACCCCCTGCTACCCTCCCTTCTGCCCCCTTCCTGTAATTGTAAGTACTAAAGCAGCATTCTATTTATGGGCAACCAGTCCTAGCTGATCCTACTTGATCAGGATTGTTGGATCCAGTGACTCCCATACATCCCTAACATCTGCCATTCTGTTTCAGTGATTTAAATATTTCAATACATTCTGAATTGTACAGAGCTTTATTTCCTTAAAACACAAAATATTTCTATTTGCTCACAGTTTATTTCACTGAAGTTTATGCAGTGTATACATAAGCATCAATGTGTATAAACCTGTGATCTACAGTCTACACAGCTATGAGTTATTAATCATAATTTAAAAAATAAAAATCCATGCAGTGTTGAAAACAGACGCTTATAAGGTAAAGAATGCCTGGAATAAAAACCAGATTTGGATTACTAGCATCTTTGTTCATTTTAAAATACAAATTATACAAAAGTCCAATCAAATTTGTTACTTCCTTGTGATCTTTACTGTAGAAATAGATTTTAAATTATTTCTATCTCAAAAAGCATTTTTCTTGATAAGCATTGCAAAGCATGTGTGCAATTTGCTGCTCTTTCAGAAACATAAAAATAAAAGTGAACAATAAACACGGCACTTTTCAGATGTTAACTTAAGAAACTGATGGCATTAGCCATAAAACAGTGCCTCCCTTATCAACCAAGATGTCTGAGAAATCTCTTGTAATAAAGCTCATTAAATAAGTGAATATCTCTGTTGTAACAAGATCATACTGATCCATACTATTTAAAAAAAAAAAAAAATCATTAAAAATAATCTCTGTGATATAGCATTCATTCACTCATGAAATATCCTTTCTGAACTTTTGTTGTATGTTGGAGTGCTCTCTACAGCATTAACATTTTATGGAAAAAATGTAAAAAAAAAACCCTGCATATTTTGCGTTGCTTTTGTTTATTTGTTTATATTTCTGGCAGAAGTAATTTATCAATTACAAAATATTATGGAATTATTATAGCTTGATTTGAATTATAAACTGTGTATCTAGAGATGAAAATTGATGCTAGTAGGTCACTAAACATGCAAGAACCTAAACATAATCTAAATTTATGAAGTTGCCGTTCACTACAGAGTAGAGAATTCATGTAGTTTAAGACAAATCAAGAAGAAAAGGGTGAACTGTGATATCCTTCCTCTTCCTAACAGTAATTCCATAACCTTGTTGTGTATAGCAGTACTGCCAGTAATAGATCATAGACTTTCAACTGAGTTTCAAGGTGTCAGCACTAAGGCTTGCTCCATTTCAACTTCTCTTGATCTGTCTGCAGTGTTGTTTTATTTGGTTTAGTTTTTACAGCATTTTTTCTTCTGATCAATTATGTGTGACAAATTTTGTTCCCTATTATTGTACACTAAAACCATTATACTGTAAAGAGAGGAGAAACAACCAGTTATTCTACGCAGTCTGAAGTATTTACAACTCAAATGCAGTGATACAGAGTGGAGAAATATAGAGCTGGAATGATAGCATACGCATATACATATATATTATTTATATATTATATTTTAATATATGAATATATTATATATATGTATATAATACATATGTGTATGTGTGTGTATATATACAAATATATATATATAAATAATATATATACATAATTATATATATATACATAATGAACTAATTTACTCCAGATTTTAAGCTTTTGATTTGGGACATATTTGTTGCTGATTCTCAGTTCTGAAAAGTTACTTTGAAGTAGTCTATTGAAATGCACAATCCCATTTTCCCAAGGTATTTTTTTCAGATTTTAATTCTCTTTTTGTAGTTGCAGAGAATAGTTTTGATACAGCGTATGGGAATGGCTGAATAACGGCCTGAACCTCTGATTGATCACCTGAGGCAAGCAATCAGTCAGCCATGGGAGCACAGGTGAAGGCAATTCACCTGTGCTGCCAGAAGGGGTGGAGCCTGGCTCCACCTCTCCTAGACCCATTTTAGAGCTGACTACGAGGAGAGAAGGATCTCTTCAGGACACCTGTCTTCTGGAGTTTTGTAGAGAGCCCAGGATACAGGTAAGTACTATATCTATTTTCTTTTTGTTATTATAATCTGCTTAGCCAAATTATTTTGTTTATTTCATAATTATAGCATCTTTATATTCATTGATTATACACACACAGCTACTTCCAACTTCTCTAAGACAATAACTAACGTGGGGATTTAACACTAATATTTAGTAAAGTAGCTTCCTCTTGAACTGATGGTTAGTTAAAAGAAAAAAGAGAAAAATATGAGAATAACTACAATGCTCATTGTAGGAATTGCTGAAATGCTGAGTGGTGTGAAAGTAAAATCTGTGACCTTTAATTTTGAGTTTGTCAGCTTGCCTCTGGCTAGCCAATCTCTGTGGCTTAAGGTATACTGAACTTTCTAATGTTCAGCTTTTTGGTAGTTTTACCCCTGACAACAGACAAACATCCATACAGCTGCTTGGTCACTCTCTTTACTGCTCTGGCCTTGTTTTTCTCTTTCCTCAATGTTCATGTTCCTTTCTTTAATACTTATTACAGAGGTGCCAAGTAATAAACCAAGTTGTGTCCTGCACCAGATCCTTTGCAGAGCTGAATGAAACTGAGTCCAGCACAGGGCAGACTGACAGAGTCTCATCATTTACACCCAACACAAATATCATCTTTACACTCATATGCAGTATTCCTGTACTATCGGAGTAAACCATGGGACACTACTATTCCACATTTCAGGTGAAGGTATGGGTTTATAATTATTTTCCCCCTTTACAGAACTCAGCTAGATATTCTTGCAGTTCAAATTTCTCTGCACTAAAAAAGAAAGCAAGATGAGAGCACTCATTTGGATAGAATAATTCACTAGTGCACTCTGTAAAGAGATTTTTGTGGTTTGGTGAGGTTTTGTTTGACAAATATTCCATTAAAATGTTTACACTTCTGAGAAGACTTTTGCAGAGAGTACACTGTGCTTATGTATTATTTTGTGTGAATGTCAGATTTGAGTTATTCCGGAATTGCCAGCTCTCAAACTGAATTGCACTTTTGACTTAGTTACTGCATTTAAATATTGTACTTGCTGTGTTATGAAGGTACTCTGAAGTAGTATCACTTGGCTTTCTCACTCTGAGGAGAAAGGACAGTGGTGGTCACCACTGGATGACACCATTGGTTGTTTTTCTTAGAACTGATGATACTGGAGATGTGATTTTTTGATTGGGTAATTTGAAGTTGCAGAAATGCAAATTAAATTGTATGGGGTTATAACTTATTTAAAAGCTGTTTAGAAATACTAATTGAAAGTATAGTGGAAGCATTTGATTGAATGTTTGAAATTAAATAATTGGAGTATATTTAGAGGCAAGACATGAACTTGGTCTACCCAGAAAAAAATGTAATTACTTATTCAAAGAACTGAAAGAAAGGGAAATTCTGTAATTGTTTTGTAAATAATGTTTCTGAAGCTGCTTTTTTTTAAATTATTTTTGTTTTAGTTTCTTCTGTTTTTTCTTTCAGTGGCTAGTATGTCTTTATATATTTCTGTGTATGAGTTATCTTGATATTGAAATACTGCATCATCAGCATCATGTAGAGAAACTGAATTGGCCTTGATTTTCTTGCTGAATAGCTCATTTGTGGAAAAATAACATTTCTTGGCTCCCTCTAACTACAAAATAAATACTGTTATAGACATTCTTTATATAACTGCTCAAAATTATTTTTTAATTAAAATATTTTTTAGGAACTTAAAACAGTCAAAAAAGGTTAGAATTAATAAATATGAACATATTTATTATCTCAGTGTACTGAGAACATTCACCACTGCTCTTCCTTAATACAAAAGATCTTTATACACCACAAAGAAGAAAAAAGATTCACTGTCCTTATATGTTATAGGCATGAAATCAGGGAAGTATGTTCTAAAATCAAGAATGAAGACTGCCCTGTTCTATTATGGAAAAGTGTTCAAAAACTTAATGGCATAACCTTAGACAAGTGAAGATTTCAGCAATTGGAGCAAGACTGCTGGTGGAAAACGTAAATAACATGAAGAATAAATAAATGAAGAAATGAGTTTTAGATGCTTTTTTATAGTCAAATGTTCCTTTTGGGAAAAATAATACATGGATACTTTTGGAACTTCAGACCAAATGTTCAGGTTGAATGTTTATGTTCACTCATTCTGACAGTAATGTCAGATTGGATTTATTTCATGTAAACTGAGCAGCTGCAACGTTTTCTTCACATAAAGTCTACCAAACACATGGTTCCTATGCTTCCAGATATGCTTATGTTGTCTGCTTTATCAAACTGCTGTCACTATGTTGAATTTATGCTGGAAAATCTAGATTCCCTAGAATAGCCTATGAGAAGAGCTAGGACCAGTGGAAAACAAGGAATAAGATTAACAGATGTTGAAAAACTATAGAAGACATTTGCCACTGGAGTGATTTTTTTTTTTAAGTAAGTCATTAAAGAACACTAAAAAAGACTGCTGTTACTTTGTTCTGTGTAAAATACTTAAAATCATGAAAAATGACGACAAAGATTCCCAGGCATCTCTTTTCCTGGAGTATATTCATTAATTGATATGACAGTCCAATTAATATTTAGTGGAAGTGCAAAAAGAAAGTGCTAATCTGTTATTAGAAAACTAAGAAACCCCATCCCCTGCACCTTGGAATACTATGATATGCAGTATAAAATTCAGAGCCTTTTTGTGATAAGTGTCCTGCCTTACTCCCTTGCATTCAATTTTCTGCGTACTTTTAATCTTAGGCTGCTGGATGTAAAGAAAACATTTAATATTCCACTTTCTTTTGAAATAAGCAAACTTGTTTGCGTTGGCCATAGGAGCATTTTCTTTTGCTAGTACAATATATCACATTACAAATGAGATAGCCACTTCCTCTGTCATTTGTACAACGCAAGCATGACTGCAAAAATGGATTTTTAAACTGAAAGATAAGCTATAGAACAAATTCAGTAACTTCTCAATTGCAGCTCTATACAATAAAAAAAAAAGCCCTACTACTGGATCAGCCATGTTTCCACAAATTAATAATAAACATAGTATAAACCAGCTGTGATCTGGTAAATGCTCCACAGCAATATCAGTTCTTGGGAAATATGAGCACTGAGAAAGTAACCAGGTTGTTTGTATCTAACCATAACACCTTATGTCCTAAACTGTTGCCAGTATGGCACAAATAGCCAATGTATTTTACTGTAAGCTTTAAAACTACCCAGAATTAAACTTAACTGGACTCAAAACACAGTGGTATATATCTTTTCCCTTTCCATTTCCATATGTATCATTGGTATCTAACTATATGAAATCTAGGAAAAGAATACAAAGGCATTAAGGTTCTTCTACATAGCACTCCACATTTTTGGGGAAATTAATACTCCAAAATTGTGTTTATGTCCAAAACATGGTGCACTTATTATTGTGTGTAATGGTATAGATACAGGAGATAATATGAAAATATGGCAGATGCAGTGTTGTAAATAGCTTTAACTGTAGTCCATTTGAATACAGACTATATGGCCAAAATACAAATCCCACCTGTTTAATGTAGATTTCCCACAAATAATTCAATGTCAACGTTTTATGAGCTCATCTGGCCCAGTTCCATGACTAGGGGGGCAGAGGGATCCACAGATCCACTCCCCAGGAAAACGGAAGAAGGGGAAAAGGGTAGAGAGATGGGTCCAAAAACAAAACAGCAGTAATGATCTGAGGAGAAACAAACTTTTTTTACTGAATAAGATATTATAATTAAAGATAACACACTATAATAAAATATAATACAATATAATTGGAATTGAAGCTAATAAATCAAATGAAATGAGAGTGTCTGAAAACCAAAAATCTAATGCTAAGGTGAGATGAGCAGTTGGGGTTACCAGGAATTTTATCTACTCTCCAAACAAAGTCCTGTGCGGTATGTAGCTCTTCCCTTCTGGGACAGATACCAGAACTGCAGAATTAACTCTTTAACTCCCAATGCACTACATAATGTTTTGATGTGGAATACTGATAACCAAAAGTAATAAAACCATGACAGTCAAACAAGGAAGCAAGCAAATGATATTTCACGCTCTTGTTTGGAAAAGGGGAAGAATTCAGCTCTAGTTTGCCAAGTGTTAGGGTTCACAGGGAGGCAAAGCAAACAAACAATATCAAACTTCTGCCATTATGATGTCTTTTTCACTTTTGATTTACAATATCAGCAAAATATTTTCTGTCAACAGGGGGGAAAAAAAAAAACAAAAATGATCTCCAGTCCTCCTTTTAGTTCATAGACAGGTTGTATTGCAGTGTCCTTCAATCTTTAATCCATTTGGATCAGTGAAATTTTGCTGTGTTTTTTTTTTTCCCTCCCCCCCACACTTTTTGGATTATCATTTGTAAAAAGCAGTCAAGCTACCCTTAGAAATAAGCATAAGACTTCCTGGTAATAGCACTAGTACTATAGAGCTAAAATTAGGATAGTCAAGGACTTTACACTATGGAAGCTCATATGAGACCTTCCATACTTTTCAGAGCAAGCCAAGATTTATATCTTTAACTGAGGCATTTGTCAGAGTAATTACTCAGGTAGAAGATATCTTCTAGAGTTTTACTGTATATATTAAGAACAATGACTTGGAAATGTCTAAGATGTTCTACATTATTAAGAATGATGCAAATTTTGAAATTCTGCTATATGACTTGTGACTTAATTTTGTCTGTAGCTCTTACTTTGAAAAAAATTGCATATAATTCTAAGCTATTTATAGCTTTTATATATCCGAGCTCATTTGACTGTAAGATTTTTTCAACATCCAAGCCCATTTTTGTCTTGACTGATTGTGAGTAATGGTTTCCAGATTTAGCTGTTTTTATATATGGGAATTCTAAAAGTTATCCACTTGGAGACAATCCCATTAACAAAACAAAACAAAAAATGACAAATAAAAATAATAATAATTAAAAAAAAACAACAGCAACAAAACCCACTACATTTGCAGTATATTAAGTGGTTCAGACAAAATAATTAATTGTATAATCATAGTCATAATTTCTTTCACTTAAATATGCTGTAAACAGAGTAATATTCCCCTCTTCTTCATAACCCTAATGAAAATAAAGTATCATTTTCTTACTTAATTTGCGCTTTTACTACTCAGATTATGTTTCCTTGGAGGTTATCACTCAACATCTGCAGCTGTAAGTGCAAAGAAAAATACCACCTCTCTATTCCTCACACCTTACTTCCCACTTCTTCAATCTGTTTAACTTTCATAGCCAAATTTCCTCCTTCTCTCACTCCCTCTCAACTTGGTAAGTTACTTTATACTCCAAATCATTCTCCCTTTTCAGCAGAAAATTCAGGTTTTCTTTTCCCCACGTCAACATCTCCATCATTCTAGATATCCTACACTTCACTTTTGACCCTAACATATTTGCATTTCCTACCCTATTTCTTCTGCTATGAGCAGCCACAGATTTTGGTAGACCTAACCTACTTCTCACTTTGAGCCTTAGAGCAGTTTTTCATGTTCTACTCCCTCCCTATATGCTGTTTTAAATAGCTATTTTTTTTTGGTGGTGGTGGTGGTGAGGTGGTGGGTTTTTTTTTTGGACCAAGTAAATGTTTTTGTTTCAGTACTCTTCTGAGGTTTCTGTAGATCTAGAAAAGTTTAAATTAATTCACATTCAATTGCAGGTCTCCATAGTTTCTAAAGAATGCTCCTTCTTTTATAATACACAGACTTCTGTTAGAGTTGCTCTAAATATTGTTCTAGCGCTACATTAGGTTTGTTGGATAAAGATTGCTGATTTTCTCACTCATTTCTATCATGCCAATTTATCAAAGCAAGCGCATTTAGGAAATAATATTAAACACTCTTTGATAGAAATTTAGTTTGATCTTACAACAGTGAGTGACATTTAGTAATACAATAAATGTCATTGTCATTACAATTTTTTAAAGCATAGCATTTATTATAAGATTCAAGTGTAACTGTTTGTATGTTAATTAAAAAAAAAAAACACTGTTTAAAATATATTTATTTGAAGATGTGATTAACTTTATATCTTCTAGCTTATATGAATTAATATTTTTTTCTTCACAATACAAATTTATTTAATCTCTTATTTATTCTATGAAAGCAAAAAATGAATACTGAATACAGAAACTATTAAATGTCAAAACAATATTTTTACCATTTTCTTTCTACTTTATCCGTTAAAATTTTAGATTAATTATTGTATAAAAAGATTACAATGTAATGTAGTGTCAGTCACTCATGGTGTCATCAACTGTATTACTGACTGTCATACTGGGAAGAGCAGAGCATGCACAAAGCATATGAAATAGCTCTAGTTGTTTAGCATGCTTTCCCAATAACTATACTTTAACCCTCAATGTGTGCTTTCAGGGATTCTGCTTCAGCATTGCTCCATATCCATTCACCAAATAACAGCTCTGTGACTCAGTATGTACTAGCGCATCACATACCCACTACAAGAAACAACACCTAATATCCATATTGAACTAAGATGTGGATCTTTTCATTAGTTAGGTCTTCTAGAAAATTATTGCAAACGATTTTTAAATTGCACTAAAAATTATCTGAGAAACAGTACTATATTTGATCTTATTCAATTCTCAGTTTAAATATCTGCAATAATAATAATGGATATACTTGTAATGCATGTCATTCATTAAGTTCAACAGCAAAGATAAAAAACAAAACAAAACTTGCACTGCATATGAAGATGTTTAGAGGCATGCTACCTACTCACTTCCTTTAATAATCAGATTAAGTGCAACAGGAATGTTTGTTTACTATATCTTCCTTAAAGCCTAACAGACCCAAGCAATACAAAGATTTTTAGAAGTAATGCAAAGAGAGGTATCTGCAAAATATACTGCAAGTGGCAAATCTGGTTTATGGAACTAAATGGCATTTTTGTATTCACTAAGTCTTATTTTTACTAGACATGTAATCTTTCTAATATATAAAAGTCTGCAGGAAAGTTAAGAACACATATCAACACTAAGTAGTTGTAACACTTTAAGGTATTATAAATGGAAACATAGCACATTTATATCTATTGAGAGTTCTTTGTTTTGTATGGTAATGACCACAAAAGAATGAAATAACAATGAATGAATGAAAAGGGTGGACTCTAATTTATGTATTCTGTGTCAGTGTTTTACGAGCTGGTTCGGCCCAGTTCCGTGACTAGTGGGGCAGAGGAATCTGCAGATCCTTGCCTCTAGAAAGGGGAAAAAGGGGACCCCAAAATAATTAAAAACAGCGGCAACTATCTGATGAAAAACAAATTTACTAAATCTGGTATTGGAATGCAAGATAACACACTATAATACTAATAAATCAAATATAACAAGAGAGAAAGAGTGTCCAAAAGCTGTAGGATTTACACTAGTGCTAGGTGATGTGTG